TATAGTTGTATACTCTGTATACTGTATAGTTGTATACTCTGTATACTGTATAGTTGTATAATCTGTATACTGTATAGTTGTATACTCTGTATAGTTGTATACTCTGTATACTGTATAGTTGTATAATCTGTATACTGTATAGTTGTATACTCTGTATTGTAAACTGAGTACCTCATATAGTATACAATATAGTTGTATACTCTGTATACTGTATAGTTGTATACTCTGTATACTGTATAGTTGTATACTCTGTATACTGTATATTTGTATAATCTGTATACTGTATAGTTGTATAATCTGTATACTGTATTGTTGTATACTCTGTATACTGTATAGTTGTAAACTCTGTATACTGTATAGTTGTATACTCTGTATACTGTATAGTTGTATACTCTGTATACTGTATAGTTGTATACTCTGTATACTATATAGTTGTATACTCTGTAAACTGTATAGTTGTATACTTTGTATACTGTATAGTTGTATAATCTGTATACTGTATAGTTTTATAATCTGTATACTGTATAGTTGTATAATCTGTATACTGTATAGTTGTATAATCTGTATACTGTATAGTTGTATACTCTGTATTGTAAACTGTGTACCGTATATTGTATACTGTGTACTGTACACTGTTTTTTATATATATACTGTATAGTTAATAAAAAAAATACAGACACACAAACACATGCGTCTGCAGTATCCTGTATTCCGTATACTGGATAATTGTATTCACACTCAATTCACTTGATAAGTCAAATTTCTAGTTACTGTTAAAAATAATTGCATTATATATTATCAAATACACATAAATGTCGTCTTCCCATTCCAAAATTTTATGGGTCACACTGTATTTGGAAGACAGGTCTATTGTTATGCACTTCTATACATTAAATAAAAGATTTCATTTTTAAAAATTCGATTTTAGTTTCTCTTCATTGACAGGAAAAAGAAATGATATTCTTCTACAATTATTATTTAAAATTCAGAAATCATATCTACAGTCTACTCTCTTTTGGCAAATGAATAAAGACAATTAAGACCTTTTTTGTCTGAGCATAATTTAGGCTTGATTAAAATGGTTCTTGTCCCCTTCATAGATAAAATTGAATCAGGGAACGCCCCCTAGTCACCTGACACGCCCACGGTTGTCACATATATATCAATTATCAAGACTGAAATAAATACAATATATAAAGGATACAACTGACTGAATTTAATGTTAGTGCTTGGTGAAGGGGTGGGTGGGGGGGAGGGTTAGTAAAAACATACGTTTTAGCTTGAAAATATAAGCCACATAGTAGTGCATTTAAATTCAATTCTTAACAAAAGTTTACGCAATTGTAAAAATTTTATTACATCAGAGTCCAATTTTAATGAATTTGAGCCGCGTCTCATATCCGCCAAAAATCGGTTACAATTGAGCGCCGGCTAAAATCTTGAAACATTGAATACAATTTTAAGTGGAACCAACCATATTTGAACCACATCTCAAATCTAATCTTTTAATCACACTATAAAGAATCTTCTGTTTATGCCCGTTTTTAAATATAGTTAAAGATAGTTTATGGTTGTATAATTAGATAATTGGAAAATGAGGGAGTTACAGAGTTTATATAGCGAGGTACAGGGTGTCCCACATTAAAATTTGACCGCGTCAATCGGTGTAAATTACGATTTGGGGGACAAATCAGAAAATTTAAGAAAAATGAATGATTTTGAAAAATTTAATAAGGCTAATAGAAATTTGTTTGAAGAAAATGCTAGAGTTTTCAAGTATTATGTGCGTATTTTGGCGTTAAAGATTGGAGATAATCTAATATGATATGGGACGCTCTGAAGTTGGATATTTTGATAGATTGATATGCAAATAGTTAGATAGTTTAATAGCTGAATAGATAAATATAGTTAGATAGCTGAATATAGTTTTACAGTCAGATAAATCGATATCAGAATAGTCACATATTTTAAAAGCTAAATAGTTAAAGAAAAAGGTAAATAACCGAATAGTTCTATAGTTAGAAAGTTAGATAGTTAGAAAGTTAAATAGTTAGAAAGCTTAACAGTTAGAAAGCTAAACAATTGGATAGTTAGATGGTTGGATAAAGTATAGGTTTGAATTATAGGTTAGATAGTCAGATATTTAGATTGCTAAATAGTTAAATACTTAGACAGTTTGGATAGCTGAATAGTTTCAGTGAGGACCGTAAAACTCTTGGAGACGACTTTTACAAACTGAAGTTATGGCTTTAAAAGTCGAATGAAAATGAGTAACAGCAACATAACACTTTTCACTTAATATATGATTTCATAAATTACTAGTAAAACTATTTGCTTTGAAAAAACACTTAATTATTACTTTAATTTCGTCGTTCATTTCACAGTTTTCTGGTTCTTACTGTAGAGTAGATACTTGATAGACAGATAGTAAGATAACTGAATTATCATTTATTAAAGTATAGGTTTGAGACAATGCCTGCTGACTAAGGATACAGGAAATATCAACCCAAGACAAACAATTTTGGGAACCTTACAAAACCAGACAGAGAACTTAAAATAGAAGAAGGACCAGACGGAGAGCTTGTATTGGAAGAATGATCAGATGGAGAGCATGTAATGGAAGAATGATCAGAGGGAGAGCTTGTATTGGAAGAATGATCAGACGGAGAGCTTTTAATGGAAGAATGATCAGACGAAGAGCTTTTAATGGAAGAATGATCAGACGGAGAGCTTGTAATGGAAGAATGATCAGACGGAGAGCTTGTAATGGAAGAATGATCAGACGGAGAGTTTGTAATGGAGGAATGATCAGACGGAGAGTTTTTAATGGAAGAATGATCAGACGGAGAGCTTGTAGTGGAAGAATGATCAGACGGAGAGCTTGTAATGGAAGAATGATCAGACGGAGAGTTTGTAATGGAGGAATGATCAGCCGGAGAGCTTGTAATGGAAGATGATCCAAAGGAGACCTTGTAATGGAAGAATGATCAGACGGAGAGCTTGTAATGGAAAAATGATTCGACGGAGAGCTTGTAATGGGAGAATGATCAGACGGAGAGCTTGTAATGGAAGAATGGTCAGACGGAGACCTTGTTAGGAAAGAAGGATCAGACGGAGAGCTTGTAATGGAAGAATGATCAGACGGAGAGCTTGTAATGGAAGAAGGATCAGACGGAGATCTTGTAATGGAAGAATGATCAGACGGAGACCTTGTTAGGAAAGAAGGATCAGACGGAGAGCTTGTAATGGAAGAATGATCGGACGGAGACCTTGTTAGAAAAGAAGGATCAGACCAGTCAGAGAACTTTTTAATTCATTCTTTTCATGCCTCATATAATCTATATTTTCATCCTTCCATTAATCCATCTACTCAATCCTACATTTATTCATTCTTTCTTCCATTCGATTATCTATTTTTTCTTCCATTAATCTACCTATTCATGCTTCCATTAATCTATCGATTCATGCATCTATTACCCCTGAGAATCCGCAGTACCCATCTGCAAATATACATCAATTAATCATAGAAAAACCTATCAGACAAATATCAGCCTTACTCAGCGTATATTCAATTTAAACTTAGAGCTAAAAACTTAAAGGCAGTAATAAAAACTGGGTTTGTTGAAATCATTATACTGGCCATAATATTCCTAAGAGCAGAAACATAATTACATTCGATTATTTAGAAAGTTTTCTTAACAAATGTCACCCAAAGACCAAAAGATTTCTTTATAGGTTGATTTTATTCAATTCTTATATTTTTTTAGAATTCTTGTTGGTTGTGCTTAAAAAGTGGAATGGGTATAAAAGTTTCCAGTTTCCAGTAAACACGTGTAATGGGTGATTTGTTTCCACAGAATTGGTATTTTTTAATTTAATTTAGTTTAAAAAATATCAATGAATTATACTAGATCAATTAAATTCCGATTTTTCGATGAAATCATGAAATTATTCCACTAATTAAATAAACAGTTATTACTTAAATAATAAAAGTAATAATTTTCAACTAAGAGCAAATAGGTAAAAAATTACAGTAATTTGAAAACCTCAAAATCTAATTGGCTGTTTGCGACCATGTGAGTAAAATGTTAATTCAGTTTATCGTTTAAAGACCTTTTAATTTAAAAAATCATTATCAAGCACAGACATCTGACATGCATACATTACGCATATAATATGAATGAGGCAGGAACGCCTAAATTTGACGCTAAAGCGTCATATTATAGAGCTCATCCACACCATCAATCAGATCTGAGTATCAATCTATCATCTAATAACGGTCAAATCCAAGAGAGCACATTTCCGGTTCTACGAACTTTTGACATCGGTTTATGTACAATTGCTTTTATTCAACTGTATGTAGAGAATGACACGTTCGACCTTTTTTCGTTTCGTTCGTTTTTTTAATCGCGCAAAAAAATCATTTCGTTCGGTCTCAAAATTATCGTTCATTTTCCATCTATTTCGGTAGTTTTTGTCACTATAACAATCGTTTGGTAAAATCGTTCGTTCAGTAATAAAACTTGGAAAATTCGTTCGTTTAGCAAAAACGATAATTTTTTCAAGCTCGTTTGATCGATTTTAAATCGATCGATTTAAAAAAAATATTTTTTTATTTATCCCAACGATGTATTTCTTTCGTCCGTCGTTCGTTTTTTTTCTGAACGAAACCCTTTTCTTGAAAAATTTCGTTCGTTCAAATAAACAGTGCCAATCTTTAACTGTATGCAAAGAATGTACGTACCAGCTGCAGCGGCAGTGCAATGTTAGTTGAGCTATATATAAACGGCAGTTCAATGTTAGTTAAGCTATATATAAACGGCAGTGCAATGTTAGTTAAGCTACAGGGTGTCCCACGAAACATGACAGTTGATAAATAGTTTTGAATGTCGTCTTCCATACACTGTATTAGATATTAAAGGCTGTTTGCAGTTTATTTCGTTTAAAAAATCTTTTGCTCTAGTATATTTTACTTTGAAATTAATGTTACAAATTAATGACTCCTAAATAATACTTTTATTATTGTCTTTCGTATAAAAAAACTTATAAAATTATGGAAGAAGACATTCTAAACTATTTATACCAACTGTCATGTTTCGTGGGACACCCTGTATATATAAACGGCAGTGCAATGTTAGTTAAGCTATATATAAACGGCAGTGCAATGTTAGTTAAGCTATATATAAACGGCAGTGCAATGTTAGTTAAGCTATACATAAACGGCAGTGCAATGTTAGTTAAGCTATATATAAACGGCAGTGCAATGTTAGTTGGGCTATATATAAACGGCAGTGCAATGTTAGTTAAGCTATATATAAACGGCAGTGCAATGTTAGTTAGGCTATATATAAACGGCAGTGCAATGTTAGTTAAGCTATATATAAACGGCAGTGCAATGTTAGTTAAGCTACATATAAACGGCAGTGCAATGTTAGTTGAGCTATATATAAACGGCAGTGCAATGTTAGTTGAGCTATGTATAAACGGCAGTGCAAGGTTAGTTGAGCTATATATAAACTCCAAACTAAACATAAAGAGAAGGTAGATTTATGGAAAGTCAAAGGACCGACTTTGTGAGCTGAAAACTTCTCTGGTTTTCACTTTAGACCAAAGAGTTATAAAAACATACCTGTATCATATCAGGAAATCAAAAGAAATTTCATAACAATGCTCTTTAGAAAAAGGAGTATGTACAAATGATTACAAGATTTGATTTAAAATTAATTTACTTCAGTTTACTGTGTATAGTTTCTAATTGGTTGCTTTGTATTCTTAAATTTGAAATTTTGATTTAGGATTAATACAGACAGGACAAGAGGGTCAGTCTTGCTTCTTTTAATATTGAAACTTTAAATGTATTTTTTATAATACAACCCCACTCACTAATTACCCGACAGGGGGTTCTTGTACAGGGCAGAGCAAAACTGTCAAAGGTAAATAAGTAATAATCCTATCCAACCTATCTGTGTTATTTGCAGGACCTTCGCACCCCCCTGACGGATTCAGAGGGGTGTAGCCTTGAGACTATAGAATAGCTTCTCAATAGCACTTAAGGGAACCTAGTGCAAAGCAGGAAAATATCTATCTTAAAAAAAATCTATCTTCACTATAGGCAATCCAGACTGGACAGTACGACTGAGTGCATATACAGTACATATTGTACCGGCTTGGATCATGCAACTTTTAAAGTGGGTTGACGGAACTTCTATTTGTTTACATAAGAAGTAAGTGTAATGAAAATTCTGGAAGAAAAATGGAATTGGGTCTTTGTCAAAAACATGAATGTTTAAGCTCTATATACTTGCAACTTAATAGTATAAATCTTAGATATATTCAATCCTAGATTATTTGATCTAGCGGAATTCATAATTTGAAATATCTAAGGTCTACGACCTTGGGTTGCAAACTTGTACGGAATAGAACATCAGAGTTTGTTGCAAAAATTTTATTCCTTTACCAGGTGAGCTTACCTACTAAACTTTATTTGTAATAAATTTTCCATAAAATTTTTTTATTGCACTTTTTTTGAGAAAAGAAGTTATTATTGAGGTTCTTCCTTGCATCTTTATAGTTATCATCTTATTTCATGCTGTTTATATATGGAAATATTTTATTCATTTAAATTTAATGTTGACGAAAATTTATGAAGTTTTTTTTTCATAACCTTTTACTTCCTGCTACATACTGTATGCACCCTGCATTTAGGTGATTAGTAGAATGATTCTAGTTTTTTATTCACAGTTTAACACAAGGGAGAATTGACAACTAATCTAATTAAATTAAACATTAACTGTTCATGTCTGTTTACCTGTATTTTTATAAACAAGACCATTTGTGCAATGATATAAATGTAAATATATATAAATAATTATTTTTTATCCAAGAACAGTTAATTGCAGTTGCGTATATTCTGCGTACATATTGAAACCAATTCTCTCTGGGTGGAATTTGTAAACAAGAATAGGTCCCTCAGTGTTCGTTTAGTATCCAAGGAGGTTAATAAAAGCATTGAATTTTGATAATTCACATAATAGTTTCCTATGACCAGAATAATTCATGGATTATTTATGTGAAAGATGGATCCCATGTCAGACTTCTACATCCGTCTTGTGTTTACATTACCGCCCATTGACAGTACACTGCAGTACAAAGATGCGTACACCTCTGAAATAACTTTCCTTGCATTAAATCCTTGTTTTTATCTATATATTAAGACCGTCCTTGGTTTAGATAAAATAAGAATGAACTGAAGATTGTTTGATTAACCGAAAATTTGGCCAGAAGAATTTTTCGTAATTTCTTCTAAATATTTTAAATTGTTATCATTATCATTTAATCGTTTACACCCACAACAAAGAATGAGACTTCAGAGACGACTGTGCGAAATTCATTTGTCTGTTTCCTTATATTCATGATTCCCTGCTACTAAATACAGTTCTGTTTTTCTTTGCGAAATTTAGTCATTTATGACTTCACATTCAAGACAAGACTTAATTTAACCTTAGGATCCGTTAAATCTTAAGAATCAAGCTGTCTGTAACGTGTTATTCTTTGTGGGTAACCCTGTATTTTAAATCAAATTCAGTTAGATGCGACATTGGTCACTTTAAACACAAGACCAATATATATAAAATGCATAATTTTTGCTTGCAAAAACTAACGCCGAATCTTAGTTTACGGATTTAAGACTAATGAGGGTTGTTTAAAATATTAGTAACTTTACAACCTAAATTCTATCTTTTTATTCAATTAAATAAAAGAACAGGCATAAATAATCATCGTGTACAATCTTCATGATCAATTTTTATAAAAATCTTTGGTCAATATTTGGTGTTAAGTCCTTCAAAGTAAAATAACACATAAAAATCAATTTTTACGTTCATAAGGAAATTAAAACATTTCTACATATGTGTTTCACAGCCAAACGAATGACGACCTTTCATTCAGAACATTCAGAAAGAAGATTTACGGTGAACTAGGGTAGAGGGTGCATCAGAATAGTGAATGTAATAAATTCCTAGATTGGTCGCCATTCATACAGACCTGACTAGACATTTTATATCTTTGAGGGTGAATTAAGAAATTCCGCAATTTGCATCGGAAAAGAAAGTGATGGATTATGTAAAATATTTTGGCGGATTCCAGATGTTTTTTGTTTCAATAGAAATCCTCTAAAAGTCTGAGAGACTTGACTCTGAATCCTCGGCGGATTCTCGAGACTTCTTCTCGTAGAATAATCGAGATAGATCATACGAAGGCAAAGATTGGTTCATGTTCATGTTTTTATTCCTCTCAGTCTTCATCTTGGTGTTCTTCATATTTCTCGGAGTATTTAGACTGCATCTTGAAACTGCTCCTGAAATCTACAGAGTCATCACAAATAATATTGCTTCAAGAAAACTTTTTTAAATTGTGGACCATCTTATGGTTGATCGTTTATTATTATTATTATTATTATTAAAGGGGGTGTCGTTGTAATTTCAAGTAACTCTCCATTTACAGATAGACAAGAGTAAGAGCACCGATGTGCATCGGACATGACACTCTGTAACGAGAGGGTCACTCAAAATTACAACTTCAGTCCCGTTTAAAGGCTATTATTTTAGGCTGACCTGAATTGTGTCCACCGCGACGAAAATTGGTTTCTGCTTCGGACAAATCTGTGTCAGAATCTTCTGCTCGTAGCATTCCTGCTCGCAGCGTAGTTTCAGTAACCGGAGAGTGTGGCTCTGAGCGAGGAGACTGCGGCTCGGAGCGGGGGCTCTGTTGCCCTGAATCTTGTTGTGAGTGCAGGGAGGGATCAAAGATTTCTGAATCTGTTGAATCAATGTTTAATGAATCAGGATCTCCGACTTCTATCTCACTAGAACTTGAGATCTCACACAACTCATCATCTTGCAAACCTTAAAAACATTTTCAACAATTCCTTTCAAATTTAAATTGGTAAGGTTAGTGTAGGAAAAAAATTTGAAATTTAGATATAATTGATTACATAACATGGAAAACTAATAGATTTTCATCTAAACTAAACTACTCTATATTGGTTATTTTGATAAATTAAACGTTTTAAACATATTAAATTGATGCTTGGTAGGTCAGAGTAAATAGTACCCGTGAACACACACGGTTCTAACATCTATACTTACCAATATCAACAGGGTTTGGTTGCTTCATATCAGTTCGTTCCACTGCCTCATGCTCTACGTCCACCGGTTCGTCCGGAGAATTCTTTTTTGATTCGTCCGACTCGTCCGTAAACTCATTCAAGGTTTCAAACTGCGGTGGACTAACTTTTCGTCTAAAAGAAGAAAGTATCGATACGGATGGTCTAAGCCATCTATAAAAACTATGTCATACAACCATTATAACAAAACTTACTCGATATTTAAAAAAGACTTAATGAACTTGACTTGAGGACTTGATGAACGATCGTTTATTGTCGATCATGATAATAATGATAAAAGATCGATTGAAAGACATAACACCATTCAATGGACGAACAGGGTCTATAAAGATCATATTTTGCTCCATCACATTTTATTTTGTTACAAATGTTATGGTTATGCCATTTTTGATAGAAAAAAAGAAATATCAGAATTATTTGATAGGGTACGATACATTACTTGATCGATCGCTGTCGAATAATAAAAACGACAACTTTTGTATGTTTAAAAGAGAAGAGAAAAGTCTAAAGGATACGAGATGATCAATGATAATATAATTAGGTAAACCTGGTTGAACTGGATCGACCCAGTAGAGGACTATGTGAGCTACCAGGACTTGAGTTGGACCTAAATACATCAATTCTTATTTTGCTTCATGATCACTATCTTATTGAGCCTCACTTTTAAAAATGATGGACCTTTTAATAAACTTTTTAGTATTAAAATAGAAAAATCCTTTGGTTAACTAATTATGTCTTCTGTGTTACACAAAATACCTTCTGTTACACTAAATGTATTGCAATGAAATCTTACATTGTATATATCGCATATGACATAAGATTTTTAAAAAATCTAACCTTGTGAGTAAATTTGTTCTGTCCAAAGATCTTGTCATTAAAGAGGAACTCTTACATTTTCTGGAACATACATTAGTTAAATAAAGGTACAAAATACATTATACATAAACAACAGTTAAAAGTATAATAGATTTCACTGGATATATCTTTTGTGTTAGGCATGTTAATTGGTCCATTTATAAACAATTTAAGGTTTATACACTAGTTTCAACGTATTTCAAAGCAAAAGAAAACCAAACTTTTGAAGAATTAAATTTTGAAAAGTGTCGATTTTTGCATATTTTTGCAGAGAAACCTGAAATAAAAAACCTTAAATATGGATCAGGTTTCAGGAGCCGTTGAACATTTACAAAAGTTGAATAAATTTACCACCCAAATTTTTATATAGATAACTCTGTTCATTAAACTCGTTCATTAAAATTCCTACCTAATTTATGAAAATTCAAAAACTAAAAAATTGTAAAAAAAAATGCAAATAATTCATATATGTTTACTCATATTTTTAACCCTTTTTAACCAATTTTTGCATAAGAACTTTAGCTATCGGAGGGAGGGTACAGCAATTGAATCTAGCCCTCACATGTTCTTTTCTACATTGATATAGTTAACTAGATCATTTTAAATAAATACCTTAAGAAAAGCGGACTTTGTGGAGACAACTTTCTTGAGAGTCTGTAATTAATGAATAATTTATTTTAATAAATGGCTACGTTTTTAACAAATTTAACTGTCTTTGCAATTTAAAGTGACCCTTCTTTGAAGATACTTGCTCGATTCACAACAAATTCGGATTCTATAATGAATTTTAAATTCATGAAGCAGAGACATTGTAGGAAATTGGTAGAATTGATCCCTTTAAAAAAAGCGACGATATATTTCTCATTGTTAATCTGTCTAAGGGGTAATGGTACCATTGTGAATCTGCAATAGATCTTCAAATGGAGGGTAACTCAAAATTATTTGGTACATATGGTTACCTGGGACTTATATCTGGAAGATCGTATTCCAGTTTCCAAGCCACAGATTCTATCTTCTCTACAACCTCCAGGACTCTAGACAAGTATACTTTTAATATATTGTTTTCATATCTCTAAGACATACAGGAAGAGGGGGGGGATTAGTCTTGAAAATTGTTGAACAGTTAAGAACCAGACAATGTTGGAATGATTGTCGTCTTCTTTTGATTATACAACGTAATTTCGTATTTTGGGTTCTCTCTAACAATGGCAATCTGGGTATTCCATTTCGGGGGTCTTTTCAGATTTTTCTTCTTATTCTAACTATTAACTGATTTATTTTTCTAAAATGCGCCCTTAACATTTTTAGAAACTTTTAAAATTCTAATGATCGTTTATCCATTAGAAGAAAGAATGAAGCCGACAACCATTTGACAATTTTATTGTCACCCCTGCTCTGTATCTTCTCAATTTTGTTGTCACCCCTGCTCTGTATCTTCTCAATTTTATTGTCACCCCTGCCTTGTATCTTCTCAATTTTGTTGTCACCCCTGCTCTGTATCTTCTTAATTTTTTTTGTCACCCCTGCCCTGTATCTTCTCAATTTTATTGTCACCCCTGCCCTGTATCTTCTTAATTTTATTGTCACATCTTCCCTGTATCTTCTCATTTTTATTGTCACCACTGCTCTGTATCTTCTCAATTTTATTATCACCCCTGCCTTGTATCTTCTCAATTTTATTGTCACCCCTGCCCTGTATCTTCTCAATTTTATTGTCACCCCTGCCCTGTATCTTCTCAATTTTATTGTCACCCCTGCTCTGTATCTTCTCAATTTTATTGTCACCCCTGCCTTGTATCTTCTCAATTTTATTGTCACCCCTGCTCTGTATCTTCTCAATTTTATTGTCACCCCTGCTCTGTATCTTCTTAATTTTATTGTCACCCCTGCCTTGTATCTTCTCAATTTTAATTTTATTGTCAACCCTGCCCTGTATCTTCTCAATTTTATTGTCACCCCTGCTCTGTATCTTCTCATTTTATTGTCACCCCTGCCTTGTATCTTCTCAATTTTATTGTCACCCCTGCCCTGTATCTTCTCAATTTTATTGCCACCCCTGCCTTGTCTCTTCTCAATTTTATTGTCACCCCTGCACTGTATCTTCTCAATTTTATTTTCACCCCTGCTCTGTATCTTCTCAATTTAATTGTCATCCCTGCCCTGTATCTTCTCAATTTTATTGTCACCCCTGCCTTGTATCTTCTCAATTTTGTTGTCACCCCTGCTCTGTATCTTCTCAATTTTATTGTCACCCCTGCCCTGTATCTTCTCAATTTTATTATCACCCCTGCCCTGTATCTTCTTAATTTTATTGTCACCCCTTCCCTGTATCTTCTCAATTTTATTGTCACCCCTGCTCTGTATCTTCTCAATTTTATTGTCACCCCTGCCCTGTATCTTCTCAATTTTATTGTCACCCCTGCCCTGTATCTTCTCAATTGGTAAAGCAGCAGATCCACAATGCACATTGCACATGGTAGTGTCCCAGATTACGAAAGAAAAATTTGCAATTCAAGTATAAAAACAAGTTTAACTTAATGTATAATTTACTCGAACGAAAGTAAAATCAAATGCAATGTGGATTAAATTATGTATTTAATATAAATTAAACCAGTTGTTTTCATTTAGTCAAATTTATATCTCTACCAGGAGAATATAGCAGTCCAGCTTGGAAATTCAGCTTTTCCTGGAATCTGTAATTTTTTTCAAACCAAGCTAAAACAATTCACATGATTCTAACAAGTTACCCAATACAAATTTTAGGCAAATCGGTCAAGGGGTTCATGAGTTATGATCGGACAGACAAACAGAGATTACTACTTTTTACATATGCCTGGGTGGTCTGTAGCATAATATAAAAATTAAGAATTAATTACCACGAGGCAAAATATTTTAATACAAAATTAAATATCTAGGTTATATTGTGATGAATATATGTTTAAATAAACTGCTTGAGGGTAGATTTAAACTAGGTTTGGAAGCTAAACTACTCCTACGCTTACTACAGTTTACACATGCAACAAGAGATCTTCAAACCAATCTTCTCGGAACAAGGAAACACAATTAGGACAAAAATAATAAGAAAAAACTGTGTCCGAATTTAATAAATTTAAGCCGCGTCTCAAATCCCCCAAAAACCGATTTCAATTGAGCGTCGGCTTAAATCTTGAAAATTTGGATACAATATTAATTGGAACGAACCATATTTGAGCCGCGGCTTAAATTTTTTAAATTCGGCCTCTGTATTTCTTACTTTTTATGGAAAAAAATAAGGCAGTCAAACAAAAAATTTTACTTTTAAAAAATACTTGAGTATTGTTTATGATATCATCTGAATTGTTAAATAATTCAAGTGAGAAAATCAAACAAAAAAAAGAAGAAAAAAATATATAAATCCTTTAAAGTCCTTGACTAATACTAGTGATTCTACTAATATACTACCACTACTGCTAATGTTAGTCTAATGAAAGTCTAATGCTATTCTGATAATAATCTAATAACAATATTTTATTCTTCTAATGCTATTCTAATAGTAATATAATATTAGACTGATAAAAGTCTAATATCAGTTGAATATTGGATATTATTGGACTCAAATTAGTCTGTAAATTCGATAATGTAAGAGTAACTTTATAAATTGTTAAGACTGGATAAAAAGTGTAGACTGACGAAGGGTCGGTATAAACATATATTCAGCCGAGGTACTTATCTAGATTGCATAGATCAAATGCTTAGCATGGAAAATTAAATAATTTATTCAATGTTACGCATGAGTGAGAATTTATTTAATCTTTACGATATTACTTGTTTCACTTCCTTCAGGTTTAATATTACTTTAATGAGGATTTTTAAGATCGTGATAAGGTTTTAATAAGCAAAACCTTGTTTTTTCTCCAACAATTTAATCAAATAATTGAATACGAATGCATATGTTTTGTGCATAAATTATATCTGCATTGTGAGTTGTGACGTCAGCGTAGAAAAAAAGGAAACATTTGTGTTTGTGGGACATTAAACATTTAAACAATTTAAAGTGTGTTCCATGTTGTTATTGTTAACTCTACTGTGTTTGATATTAATTGGATTAATCAAAATCATATCTTGAGTCTAACATACATCTTCATATTCCATATCTTTACAGGTCTCACTTAAATTGTAAACAAATTATTTGTAAATCGAATAAAAACTTAATATTTCTTCAGCTAAATTGTGGGAAAAGTTTTACCATGATTGTGAACTTTAATGGTTTAAAGGTATTAAAACTACAATTATAATATCAACTACAAAATTATAAAAAAAGAATCTAAACCCCTTTAAATTACGAAAAATAGAAACCTCACTTCAGACAAAATGTGTTTTGAAAAACCTTTCAGAGAACTTTCGGTCTGTTACATTGACTTTATTTACACATCAAACACATTAATAAAATTTATGCGGAATTATTGGTACAACCTTGAGACATCGTAACTCCTCTTTTTTTATTTTACATTTAAGAGTGACACAATTATTCATTTCAAACTTTTCACTCACAAATAGGACAGAAAAAAAAGATATGTTTTCAACAATTGAAGATTTTAATCTCAGTTGAAATTAACTTAAATTTAAAGGCTAGTAGCATTTGCAGAAATTCATGCTTGCAAATTTATGCAAATATTCTGGGTTAATTCATAATTATAAAATATCCGCAAATTTTTGCATGCTTCCTTCTCAATTTATTTTGCATAAAATCTTAAATATTTTAAATATTCAGTAATGAATTATAGGTATCAGTGCAGTCAGTGCAGTATTTTGTAACCTCCAAAATTAAATGGCGAGAGGTTTTCAATTTATTTAAAAACATTATGAACTTGAAGCAAACTGTAGAGATTTTAATCTTAATTAATGATAATAATTATCTAATTAATTATAATAAAAATAGTAAAAAATTAAGCTATCAGTTTATCTTTCTTAAATAAACACAAATAAACGTCGGTTAATAAAAGAACCGTAATAAACCGTAATAGACACTAACAGTGAACACAATTAACACTTTGTCTAAATTTACTAAAATTAAAACTGTTTAGTGCTATACAGTCGTATTATACTGATTCATAATGCATAATATCTGAAATGAAAAAAGTTCTTAAAATCAAAATATAGATTATGATGATTAAGATACTCGAATAAATACTGTTAGATAGTGTTGGGGGTTTTATTTCGTTCGTTTTTGAGGACTTTTTAGGTTTTTGGACTTCCTATGAGTAGATATTTGCATGAACAAACTTAAAAACGAACAAAATGAACAATCGGTTTTTGGGTTCGTTTTTTTAGTTCGTTCATACAAAAATAGTCTTCCAGGGCTAAAATTTTATAGTGTAAGAAAAGCAAATGTTTCGAAAAAAAGTTTTGAAATGCGTGAAACTTTGTTAAAACCTTTTAACAACAAAAAACCTTAAAAGTTTTAAAAAACGAACGCATATTTTTGATAGGTGTAAGGGAGATTAAATTTAAAAAATAATAAGACAGAATGAGTGCTAGTTTGAAGGTCAGACTATAGTAAACAACTCAGCATTGACTGAAAACTTTCTTTAATTTAGTTTATTTACAGCACTCAATATTTTCAAGTAATTCGTAAATTCAAGTCGGACTCCTCGCTTTAATTAGGTCGGGCAATTCAAGTCTCAGGAAACTAAGGAAGTTAATGGTGACTATATTCACTTTTCATTACTTTTTTATTTAATATTTGTAACAGTATCTGTACATTAAACTATATTCACTTCTCATTACTTTTTTATTTAATATTTGTAACAGTATCTGTACATTAAACTATTTTCACTTCTCATTACTTTTTTATTTAATATTTGTAACAGTATCTGTACATTAAACTATTTTCACTTCTCATTACTTTTTTATATAATATTTGTAACAGTATCAGTACATTAAACTATATTCACTTCTCATTACTTTTTTATTTAATATTTGTAACAGTATCAGTACATTAAACTATATTCACTTCTCATTACTTTTTTATTTAATATTTGTAACAGTATCAGTACATTAAACTATATTCACTTCTCATTACTTTTTTATCAATCTTTTCTGATTTTGTACTAACGAGGCATTTCTTCCGAAATGCGTCGTTTTTCATCAATTAGTTGTTTATTTTTAATCCCGTTACTTTAATCTCTCACATAATGGGCATATCTGGTTAAACCTATAGGGAGTGAGAGTCCCCTGTTATATATCTAGTACATGGGGGAGTAAAGGGGTAGACCCCCTGTATATCAAGTATCTGGGGGAGTGAAGGGTTAGGTCCCCTGTATATCAAGTAACTGGGGAAGTGAGGGGGTAGGTTCCTGTATCTAATACCTGGGGGAGTGAGGGAGTAGGTCCCCTGTATCTAATACCTGGGGGAGTGAGGGGGTAGGTCCCCTGAATCCTCAGGAAAGGGTCGTATTGGAATTCCATTCTTTCCAGGGGGAGCAGAGACAGGTCGTCCACGGAGCGAACTTCTGAATAAAATGTGTTTAAATATAAGCAAAATCCCCCNACGTTTGGATATATAGAAAATACGGGTTCAAAACTGAAATCAAACGCTTATTTAACGTTTGGATATATAGAAAATACGGGTTCAAAACTGAAATCAAACGCTTATTTAACGTTTGGATATATAGAAAATACGGGTTCAAAACTGAAATCAAACGCTTATTTAACGTTTGGATATATAGAAAATACGGGTTCAAAACTGAAATCAAACGCTTATTTAACGTTTGGATATATAGAAAATACGGGTTCAAAACTGAAATCAAACGCTTATTTAACGTTTGGATATATAGAAAATACGGGTTCAAAACTGAAATCAAACGCTTATTTAACGTTTGGATATATAGAAAATACGGGTTCAAAACTGAAATCAAACGCTTATTTAACGTTTGGATATATAGAAAATACGGGTTCAAAACTGAAATCAAACGCTTATTTAACGTTTGGATATATAGAAAATACGGGTTCAAAACTGAAATCAAACGCTTATTTAACGTTTGGATATATAGAAAATACGGGTTCAAAACTGAAATCAAACGCTTATTTAACGTTTGGATATATAGAAAATACGGGTTCAAAACTGAAATCAAACGCTTATTTAACGTTTGGATATATAGAAAATACGGGTTCAAAACTGAAATCAAACGCTTATTTAACGTTTGGATATATAGAAAATACGGGTTCAAAACTGAAATCAAACGCTTATTTAACGTTTGGATATATAGAAAATACGGGTTCAAAACTGAAATCAAACGCTTATTTAACGTTTGGATATATAGAAAATACGGGTTCAAAACTGAAATCAAACGCTTATTTAACGTTTGGATATATAGAAAATACGGGTTCAAAACTGAAATCAAACGCTTATTTAACGTTTGGATATATAGAAAATACGGGTTCAAAACTGAAATCAAACGCTTATTTAACGTTTGGATATATAGAAAATACGGGTTCAAAACTGAAATCAAACGCTTATTTAACGTTTGGATATATAGAAAATACGGGTTCAAAACTGAAATCAAACGCTTATTTAACGTTTGGATATATAGAAAATACGGGTTCAAAACTGAAATCAAACGCTTATTTAACGTTTGGATATATAGAAAATACGGGTTCAAAACTGAAATCAAACGCTTATTTAACGCTTGGATATATAGAAACATTTTTAGTAATTGCAAGGACGCAACGCAATATATATATATATATTTATTTTATTTTTGTTTGTAAAATTATTTGTGTTATGACGTTGTTTGAACATTTTTACTTTGTTACGACTTCTGTTATCTATTAAGTTGAGAAGAATAATACTTACTTAATCTTTGATTTTTATGTGTTAAATGCACAATTTGATTTTTTATGTGTAAAATGCATCATTTAATTCTTATGTGTTAAATTCATAATTGAGACAAGTTGAGTGAAAATAAACTCCCTTTTACTCACCACAAGTGAATGCATACTACAGAACTATTTTAAGGGTTAACCACAAGGAATTTTCATTTTTTCGGTTTCTGAATAAAGAAAGATAATACCCTCCCCTCTTCCCCCCCCCCACTAAATAGTAAGAGACTGCGCCCCTCGTATACCTTGCTGCCTGTTTAATAGCTTCAGTAGCTTCACTGTTCTTTCTAGTTCCTTTTCTACAATAATATAAAATTATCAAATATATTTAAACTAACTATATTTAACGAATTTATTAATCAATAAATTAATCAATGAACTGACCTGACTGTTTCCTTGAGAAGATCAGGCTGATCCCCAGATACATGGACATCTAGATCATATATCATATATCAGGTTTAAGGTTTTTTGGTTAGGGGTCAACTTAGGGACAGAGGGTACAATTGAGGGGAAGAGGGTTAGGTAGAGAAAGTTCATGATTGGAGTTTACTTAGGGACAGAAGGATCTACGTTAAGGATTGTTTGGTGAACTAAGGGTCGGAAGGGGTGTTTGCAGGGGCGGATCCAGCTCTTTGAAATGGGGGGGAGGGGTCAACTCCCAATAAAACTGTGATGGTGGGGGTGGGGGGAGCACAGAGCAAAACTTTTAAGCGAGGATGGGGGGTGCAGGCCCCCCGTAAATTTTAAAAGGAATTTGCATTGAGAGGGAGTATTTGAAGTGCTAAAAATAACAAATTTCTCATAAAATATGTAAAAGATATTGCCACCTTAATTAAAACTTTATGTACTTTACTTTCAAACTTTTCACTCAGGATTCTCGTGCAAGAAAAATACTGACATATAAAAGGCTAGCAAGGATAGGTCGAGGGACGATGATATCTCAGTTTAATATAAAAAGGAGGGGAAGGCCAGGGTCCAAAAATCGTATACTTGTGTTTTTGCTTTAAATCGGGCAATTTTCAAAAAATTTCTGTAATTTGATTTGAATTAGGGAAAAAAGCATTTTCAAAAATACCCATGTATTAATGATTTTTTTTCTTCATTTTTATCATTACAACCCATTCCAGGAAGCCATTTCTGATTTTTGTAAAAATTGCATTTTTAGTAGAATAAAATTTTTCTTTTTTAAAATGATTTCTGAAAATGTTACAAAATTGGACAACCCTACTATAGCTTTGGTGTCGCTGTTATGTTACTAAAAATGTAATTATAATGCTATACTTAAATCATAATAAACGTAATTATCAAAATAGGAAAGAATCATTTTCAATTACTTAACAGCGTTGGTTAAAACTTAAAATCTATCGATGAAAAGTAAAATATTATGATTTATCAATCAATTAAAGATTGTTAAGTCAAAGGACCTTAAAGTTACTGCTAGCAAGCAGTTACAGTAAACTTTTAAATTAGTCTGGTACTTGAACCGAAGGAATAGTGGATTTTAATGGAGGTTTAGAGGTAAAAGAATCAAATTGTGGGTCAAGAAAAGACTTAGCGGTTGAGGGATCGACTTTAGCTTTTAAGGGACAAACTTGGTGGTCAAACCAGTTTTCCATAAGGTCAGAGAGTTACCTTAGTGGTCAAACCAGTTTTCCATAAGGTCAGAGAGTTACCTTAGTGGTCAAACCAGTTTTCCGTAAGGGCAGAGAGTTACCTTAGTGGTCAAACCAGTTTCCATAAGGTCAGAGAGTTACCTTAGTGGTCAAACCAGTTTCCATAAGGTCAGAGAGTTACCTTAGTGGTCAAACCAGTTTTCCATAAGGTCAGAGAGTTACCTTAGTGGTCAAACCAGTTTTCCATAAGGTCAGAGAGTTACCTTAGTGGTCAAACCAGTTTCCATAAGGTCAGAGAGTTACCTTAGTGGTCAAACCAGTTTCCATAAGGTCAGAGAGTTACCTTAGGCCAGTCTTAATGTAATTTTCATCTAGGTCAATGTATTAATTTAGTAATTAAATTGTATCAAACTAACTCAGGAGTCAATTATTATATGAGTACTTAATATTTAAAATTTTTACCTTTAGAAGGTTTAGAAACTCGGGAATTCTTTCTGTTGTTTTCTGCCACTCTGCTCTTAGATCCAGCTACTGTTGTTGTTATTGTTGTTGGTGGTGGAACCGGTTTGTTTGTTTGAACTGGTTTGTTTGTTGTTGACACTTTCGGACCTGTTCTTGTCAGGGTAGTTTTCCTTTGCGGGGCTGAGGTTACTAGAACAAAATAGTTATATTAAAATAAAATATGATAATTTTTGGTTTATAAAATTAATTTATCAAACAGGATTTTTTTGTTGTTGGAAAATTTGATAATATCCAATTCCAATTCACGGCGTGTTCTTTCCTTCTCTCCATTTATCATAAAATCGACAAATTCTAGGCTTCCTGCCTCACATTTTACATCCTTCCTGTCTCACATATCAACCTTCTTCCTGCCTCATATTTTACATCCTTCCTGTCTCACTTATCAAACTTCTTCCTGCCTCATATTTTACATCCTTCCTGTCTCACATATCAACCTTCTTCCTGGCCATCGTGTCCTATTCATTTAGCACAAAATAGGTTTTCTCTTTGTCTAAATTTATATATTATTCTTGCCTCAGCTATCTCTTCCTGTCTCATATTTCTTCATATTTCCTGTCTCATATATCTTGATTCTTCCTGCACCATTTACGCCCCAATTTTTCCTGTCTTATACATCAAATTCATGCCTTATATATATCCCAATTTCTTCTCTTTCACACATCCAATCTTCCTGTCTTATAATTCAACTTCCTGCAAAGCATATCCCTATTCTTCCTGTCTCATGCATCCCCATTTTTCCTGTTTAAATCCAACTTTCCTGTCTTAAGATATCCTATTCTAGTGTATTCTCTATGCATATATATAAACTGTAGTTCAGTCTGGTCTCACTGCTGGAGATTGAAGGCTCTCATACGGAAAGATATTTTCCAAGAGGGTGTGTACTGTGTACTGTGTACTGAGAAGTGGGAGGGGGNCAACAACCTTGAGTTTTAGTTTAGGTTCCTTGGATTCTAGATATTTAGTTTAGGTTCCTTGGATTCTAGATGTTTAGTTTAGGTTCCTTCGATTCTAATGTTTAGTTTAGGTTCCTTGGATTCTAGAGGTTTAGTTTAGATTCCTTGGATTCTACATGTTTAGTTTAGGTTCCTTGGATTCTACATGTTTAGTTTAGGTTCCTTCGATTCTAGAGGTTTAGTTTAGGTTCCTTGGATTCTAGATGTTTAGTATAGGTTCCTTGGATTCTAGATGTTTAGTTTAGGTTCCTTCGATTCTAATGTTTAGTTTAAGTTCCTTGGATTCTAGAGGTTTAGTTTAGGTTCCTTGGATTCTAGATGTTTAGTTTAGGTTCCTTGGATTCTAGATAATTAGTTTAGGTTCCTTGGATTCTAGATGTTTAGTTTAGGTTCCTTGGATTCTAGATGTTTAGTATAGGTTCCTTGGATTCTAGATGTTTAGTTTAGGTTCCTTGGATTCTAGATTTTTAGTTTAAGTTCAATTGGATTCGGATTTTTTAAAAAATTTGAAATATTTACTATTTTTATGCATGAGACAACTGGATATATCATAATAATGAGCTGAAAATAGTGAGGAGTCATATCATGATTAAGATCATCTAGAGCCAATATCTGGCTGGTTCAGAGATTAACCTTGGATATCAATAACACAGTCATATCAAGTTTATTATAAATTTTACAAACTGAGAGAGCACAAAATTGAGAAAACACGCCCAGAAACTATTAAAGTTTAAAAGAGAATGAAACCCTGAAATAATTTATTGAAGTCATATTAATTAATAAAGGTAAGAATATCAAAATAAGTTTTATTTTTACAAAGTAGGCTAATAAAATTAAGCTAAATACCTTTTGGTCCACATGGTTTTGGATTTTCTGGTTTTGTGATAATTGTTGATTTAACGGAGCACTTTTTATTAAAAGTTTTTGTCCGGTGAGGCGTGTCCGGGGATAGACTACCCGCCCTACCTTCATCTTTTTAAACCAGAATATTATGAATAATTATCATTTATGTATTTTGGTTTGTTAACTTTTTTTTGATGAAAATTTTTCTATAAACAAGGTACAAGTTACAATTTTAGATGAAACCTTTATTCAATATTCATAATATCGAACTTAAAGTAAAATTTTCTGAATTACAAAGTTTTGCTTGAAATTATAAACAGGATGTTGGGATATATTTGTTTTAGATATCTGTTCAAGATTTTGTTCAAAATTTCAAGCAAATTTTTGTAATTTCGAAATTTTGGTAGTTCTATATATATCACAAACAAAATGTTCAGGTTTCCTCTAAAAGTGTAATAACGGAAAATAAAAATCTGCTTAAAAATATAAAAAGTGTGTATTTTTAAATTTTTTCTGTTTTCCTGAAGTATCTGATTTCGAGGATATTTTCCTAGAGCCGGGTCCAGGCCCAGGGAAATGTCGGGGTGTGGTGGGGGACGGCGTGATTAGCTCTAAGGAGAGGCAGGGAGGAGGGAGTAGTTCAACTACAGAGCGAGGGAGGCGGAGGGTTGAGGGGCGAGGGAGGGGTTTAGGAAGGGAGCTGGGCATCCTTTTCCTCTCATTCATCAGAGATTAACATGTTCTAATATTTCATCAGAATCATTATAAAGAAAGTTTAAATTAATTTCTCGACAAAAACCAAACATTTCACTTTATACCAAAACATGTGATGCGATTTTATACCGTGGTTCTTTTCCTAAATTGTTTTTCATTTTTTGTGATAATTTAGTTATAATTCATGTTTGGTTAAAAAATATTTTGGGATCAGTTCTAAACTTCAATTTATGAATAACAGCTGAACATGATTATAGTAATAATAATTTTTTTATATCGAAAAAAAGATTATTTTATGAAATAAAATAATAAACTCCCCCACCAGCTGAGCTAGCTGTAATCTGTAAGTATAAGTCACAAGGTAAAATAATAAACTAAGTATTAAAAGGAAATTCTCAAACATATGTTATCTTTCACTCACACATTGATAGCTAACCGTAGGAAGTGAAGAAGGAGGAAGGGGGGGGAGGTGACATGATTTCAAGTACTTTAGATTGACAGGTGGGGGGAAGAGGGTAAATCGAGTGCAGATGAAGACGATGGATGAGAGAAGGATGAACGGAAGGAAAAAGATGAATGAGAGAAAGGGATAAAACCGAGACGGTAAATAATGAGAGAAAAAAATGAATGAATCAGAGAATGGAAATGAATGAGAAAGAGAATGAATGAATTAGAGAATGGAAATGAATGAAAGAAAATGAATGAATCAAAGAATGGAAATGAATGGGAGAGAGAAAATCAGAGAATGGAAATGAATGAGAGAAGGAAATAAGAATGAGATGAGAGAAATGAATGAAAGAAGGGAAAGGGATGAGAAAAGAGAAGAATAAGAGAGAAAAAAAGAATGAGTGGAATGGACTGAGTTGGATGAAATGAAAAAACGGACGAAAGAAAAAATTGCATGAATTGAGTAAACAAATTAATGGACAATATATAAAAAGAGGCGAGGAGGAAAAAAAGAAGATCAAAAGACGTGATTTAGGTTGGGATGAGAGAGAAATATTCAACGATAAAAAAAATGCGCGGCTAAGATGCCAAGATTGAAAGGCAGAGAGGGTATAAAGGTCATGAATCGAGGAAGAAATATATCCATTACTCTTTATGAAAAGGGTTACCCATATATCAATTATACTAACAATCTTTTAATGCAATGCATGTATTTTGCACAGTTCACCCAACATCATTATATTATCATAATCGTTCTACAAAGCTGAACAAAGCTCAAGTGAACAGAAAAAAATAGTTATGTTTATTTCATCTTAGATAAAAACTATTTCTGCCTGTGTACAGTCAAATCACATATTAAGAACTCATTTATATAAAACTAAATAAATGAAATGAAATGAAAAATGGAGGGAGGGATAGTGTTCTGTATTTTGAACCCATTGATAACTAGTGTTAAGGGGGAGGAGGGAATATCAAATTACTAGAAATAAATACTGATTAATGTGTGTTAGCAGGAATATATTATTCAAATTCTATCTCATTTATACATTTCACTTACACACGATGTCTTTATAAACTTTTTTATTATTTCTGTTTAGTTTAGTAAGATAATAAAATATGCAAGTAGGAAGTGTCATTAATTCCACCCAAGCTTGGAAACTAGGCATTATTAGGCCTAAGCTATCTTCTGACCACTCAACGTATAAATTCTTAATTGTATTTTATAAGGAACCCTATAATACAGGCGTAGAGTATAGAACATATTGCGGGGTTTACAAGGTTCTAAGATTCAGGCCTCAGGAGAACAATAATCTTTCAAACTAACATCTAAAACTATATTTTTTTTTACTTTTAAAAGTTACTAGAAATATCTAAGGAGGCTATAAAAGTTGCTTCAAAGTAAGCAACTTTTTTTATATTCGTATAAGGACATTTTTCCTAAAAATCCTTTTCTGGTCAATTTTCTTTATAAATAAAACCAACTAAGCGGTTATCAAGGTCTACAAAACCATTTTATGATTTTTTGTGTGTGTGAAAATATCGACCTCTCGTTGACACGTGTTATATTGAGCTAAATATGATTGTACATTTATTATTCTGTTGATAAACATTGTCAGCAATATATTAACCCTAAAGGTATAGGGGTGTGTGTACCTGTACAATGTACTGTGTATACGGTGAACACAGATAACTCAGATATGACAAAATATGTCGGTTTTAATTTTCTTAATTTAAATGTACTTATTTGAATTAATTAACTTATAATAATTGTGCAATGCGGGGCTGAATACATAGGTATAAAAATGTTCGTTTTACACTTTTATTATATATCCTTCCAAATGTGCTGAAAGCCCCTTAACTATATATTTACATTGTACGATAAGTACCAGAGTTAAAACAACAACTGTCTCTGTTGTCCAATCTGTATGCCTGAGGGTACCTTGTTAACCCCTAGTTATCTGCCAAACCATGCAACCAACTTGTATATCGCATGTGAGAGTCTTGTTTTTCAAATGTATTCAAAAACTGCTTAATTGCTAATTATTTAAATAAACACAAATATAAATCTCGAAATTTGAATAATTAAAACTATACAATTTTACAACAAGCTGAAACAGGTGTATCGACAGATAAATAAATTATCAGATCGACAGACGAATTGATCAAGAGATA